CTGATAATAAAGTAATGTTATTCTGGCATAAAGCATGTTACCTGTTTGGTGGGTGACAAAAAGAATTAAAATTAGACAGTGGTTGGGTGATTTCACTTTCTGGGGAAATATAAATTCCAGTTAAATAACACATTTAAAAACTTTTTTAATATAATACATTAAATGCACATATATGGACAAGCTAATAAACATTCTTGTTCTTTTGCTTTGATTCTAAATTTTATTCTCAGGGAAAATGAGATGCCACTAATACATCCTTCACTATAATTTTACTTCAGAAATAAATTTGTCATATTCTCTAATGAGATAATACTTCTCTGGATATAGGTTTTAACCACAATACACATGTTGTGAATGAATTATAATTTATATCCTTTAATACTGAATATATTATTATGTAAGACACTTGAGGCATGGAATTTGTAATTATTATTAGCCACAAACAAAGCTTGTGGAATAAATCCTCAGCAAACAGGATTGGCGTATTAAAAGATCAGATTTTGATATGCTTGTTTTCAAATAATAAGAAAGATGATATTCTTTGGAGAAATTTTATTTTGAATTAAACATGTCTTCAGTAGAATAATGTCAGATGAAACTATTAGCAGAACATTTTGATAATCCATGTTCTCTTAAATGTCCCATGACCAGAAGAGTAGCTGTACAACTTTGATTTAGTACAATAAGAATGTAAACCAATTCTAGCTCCTTCTTTTTATCAAGTCTATCAAATGAACACAAAGAAGTCCAAATTAAATTCAATAATAATAGAACTTGTTCCTTTTCCAACTGTTGTAAAACCTTTTCCTCTCATTAAACAAGGCTCACTCAGTAATTATTTTCTTTATGAAACTAAATGCAGAGGAATGTTTCTCTTATTAAATCAACATCTTTATGCTTTTGAAGTTGAAGATACCACAAAACAATCTAAGAAGAAAGTATGTTGAATGCCATCAACTCATTTTCTCCCACCCAATGTTTTAAATTGTTTGCTTAGTTCTAACGTATACTACACTTACATAAGTTGTTTATGACGAGCCAAATTAACAATTAACAGTCTTTGCAATTGTTTCTGTTGGAATTTGGAGAGCGGACAAATGAATTACTAGAGAATGGCAATTCTACATGAATTAACTTTTAAGTCTCCCTAAGAGGTTGATGCAGAACTTAATAAGAGACTTATTAGGAGAAGTGGGACAACTTAATTCAGATTGATTATAGACTTTGGTGAAGACAGCTGGGGTTCAAATGAAACTGAAACAGAACTTATATGGACTTCAAAGTATGTTAAACAGATGTCTGAAACAATTACTCTGCTCAGCCTTTTCAGAAGTTTCAAAGGCTGGATGGGAATAACATGGTAAATGAAAGTTCTATTTGCCCAAGTGGAGACAGAGACTTTAAAAACTTACATACACAGTGCTATCTAAAGTCAGATGCTTTGGGTAAAGAAAAGCATTTGACATTGTTGTCCTAAGTAATTTGCTTTTAGCTTTATAAACAAAACAGAAAGTGAGAGAGACTACATGAGAACAAGCAATAAACTCTGCTGGCAACACTAACTTACAATTAATTTCACATTGCCTAAATAATTTGGTAGGCATTTCTAAGATAAGTAATTTTTACTTTACCTTCTAAGCTCAAATAAAGCTGACAAGACCTTTCTATTACTATACTTTTAAAGTATACAGTGATCATGTACTATTACATACATTTTACTAGGAGATTTCTAATATATTAATGACTTTTAAACAACAAAATAATGTGCATTGAAAACTAGATACAGCATTGATTTCATATCTAATCTAGTTTTATGAAGGATTATATCTTTTGTTTATTTTTCTTCTTGATAAAAGGCAAAATACATATCATTTTTACCCTAAGAAGAATAAGAAAAACAAAAGCCTCCCTAAAGCAATTCATTTGCTTGCAGTTAATAATAGTGATCAGTCTCTCAGTAAAATTTCCTATTCCATTCTAGACAGTAAACCTTGCCTTCATCACAAAGATATAATATTGGGCACTAGGGAGATAAGTAAACATAAAATTTCCAGTGCACAAGCATGAAGACTTGGGTTTGGGTGCTTAGCATCTACATAAAAGCTGGGTGTAGCAATGCATGCCTGCAACCCTGTGGGATGGACATAGGTAGATTCTAGGGAATAGCTGCCAATTTAATCTAGCCAATTGATGAGCTTTGCGCTCAATGTAAGATTCTGCCTCAAAACAAGGTAAGGAATGACAAGAGAAGAGATGACACTGAACAAACAATATAGAGAAGTGATTGAGGATGATGTTTTGTGAAGTTAACCTATATGAAAGGACTTACCATTCTGTCAAGTTGATGGCAAATATAATATAAACAAAAAATTAGGACTACGCTTAAGAGAAAAAAAAGTAAAGGAAGACTTACATACAGATGGTTGCAAGTTTTTGTCTTAGCAGAGTGAAAATGAAATTCTAATACATTACATCACAGATAACATTATCTGTTTAGAGGACACACATTTTGTTTCTTCAATATAAAATTCTGGGATAGAATTTCTTTGTCACATTTTTCAAAGAAAGGAAGCCACACCTTTTCAGTCTGGAAGGGCTAAAATGATGCAATTTCTAATTTTCTTCTTAAAATTTTTGATATGTATATTGAACAAAAATACGAATGGTATAATGGCTTCAATATACTCCATGCTCCAGTTCATATACCATGAAATCAGACTTAGTTAAAATGTCAAGAAAGTATAATCAAAATATCACATTAATAGTACTCTATAGGAAAACTTGAAGAATCCTAACCTTTGGCTTTCCCAGTCATATTTTAGACCTCTATAGAAGCAAAAGCAGTGTACAAACAGATATAACAAATTTACAAATTTCAATATGAAAGTCTGGGAGCTCAATTATGGGTAGATGAAATAGTGTGTTTAAAGTTATAGGTGAGTGTGTGTCAGTGGCATGCATTAGAGCCTGGATTCAACATCCAGTTTGAAAATAAAGGAAAGAGAAGGGAAAAGAAAAGAGTGAAAACAAATTATGGGCATAGTTCAAGAGTAATGTTCCTTTTATCTGGAGAAACAAGAGTAGATTAGAATAAGAAAACACCAATAAATTCCAAATATTTTCACTTTAGGATTTTTCACAGAATTTGTCTTCAAAATATACTCTATTAGTCCAAGCTACTTTAAATGGAAGGAGTAGAATCACTTAAGCTCCAGAGTTTAAGGGCAACCTAGTTAAATTTAGTGAGACTATTGAAATCAGTCTACTAACCAATTTATCTCCTCTTTCTCTTCTGTCCCCCTCTTTCTCTTACTCAAAGGCTGAGGATGCAGCTTAGCACATGGGAAATATTACGTTAAATACTCCCTCTAGCTATAATACTTTCTGTTCCTTTTGCATGTCTATGTATATCACCCAGTGAGTGATTCAGTTGTGTTTCCCATTACAAGAAAGTAAAATACTTGCATGGTCAAATAAGCATTGATGTTATCTCTGTAAGGTGAGTAGTCCTGACTGGATCCTTAAAATGCTTGGTAAGCAACAATAACTATGGTTTTTGAAAGTATAAAGTCATTTGAAATGTAACTTTTATTCTAGTAGTTTTTCTTATGGAGCTTTATTTGTGACACAAGGGTTTCTTAATGAGTAAAATAGCCAGCCAATATGAACATGACATTACTATGCCTTGATTTATCACTATCAAAAAGAACAGCTATCATTTCCATAAGGACCAGGGATTGGTGGTTTTAAAATTGATTCTCTTTTTTAAAAAAATCAATTTTAGTTCATCGGGTTAATTTTGTGGACTAAACTACCACTGCCACTGTGGTAGTTTTGGAGTTTCAGATTTGGGGTCAATAAAGTGAAACTCTGCTGATGGCAGTTGGGGGAGTGGTAGATATTTATGGAAAAAAATAGGTGATATATATATTGGGCCTTAAAGGTTCAGTAAGAGTTTATCAGACAAAGTGTGGTGATTCAGATGGATGGAAAAATACATGGCGGGCAGTTTTGAGAAAATAGGACTAATGTATATAGCATGGAAAGAGTACACTAAATTGTCTTCATTCAAGTTGTAAAAATTGAATAGGAAAGTCAGGGATACATGGAAGATGGATAGCTACCCTATTTAATGACAAGACTTCATTATATCCTTCAAAGAGTTTTAGATTGAAATGGGAAGAGTCTGAATGATTCAGAAATATCCATTCATTTACTCAATATTTAAAAGACAGTGTTCATAATATGTCACACACACTGACTTCCCAGTGGATATAAGTATGTCATCTTTATAAGTTTAAAAAATGAAGGGGTTTAAAAACACACTGTTGAAAAAAGGGGCGAATAGTAGGGAAAAACATTTTGATGGAAAACAAGCAATATTATGCAGAAAATGAAAATGTAGAAGGAGATAAGGCTGAACCCATATTTCTACTAGTTTACAATTGGACAACAAAAGAACTGGAGAACAAATGATTCTGTTTAAGACTGGCTGCTATATTAATAAGGAAAAAGTCCCAAAATTACTCTTCTGATCTTAGCAAGTGTTCTTTTTATTCTGTTCTGATACTAAGTAATAACACACACACACACACACACACACACACACACCAAAAAAATCATTAAATAAAACCCAACCAACCCCCAAGCTCATCATTTTATGATAAATTAATTTCCTAATAGCAAAAATAAAAATTACTTTGACCTTGTAATTTTTAAATATTTAATCTTATGAGCCTGAGGTACCACTTACCAAACTAATGAGAGTCCTTAATATTTCATTTTATACTACTGAAGATAGATAAATGATTATATCACTGACTTTTTGTGGAAGAAACTGTATGAAAGTCTTCAAAACAAGGAAAATAAAATGGGCTATTTTCAAAGGCATATAGGCCCTATAATTTAACTTTGTGTTTTTGTGTGATGAAAATAATATAAATTTAAATGAGCACTTTTGGGTCTCTCAAAGTATTATGGGATAAACCAAAACACAGTACCTTGACTTTTTCAAGGTGATCTTGGAGAGAGTCAATGAGGAGATCCCCCACTGGTTGCCAGGATCCCTTGATCACCTCAGCTTGGCGCAGTTTGAGGTCCAGTTCATCTGCAGCTTCTTGAAGTTTCTGTAGCCTTTCAAGTGCCTCATCTAGTTTTCTCTGCCAATCAGCTGAGTGCAGGTTCAACTTGTCCCATTCAGTGTTGACCTCCTCAGCCTGTTTCTGTAGGAGCCGAGTGACATTCTGGGCTCTTTCTTCAGGAGGCAGCTCTAAATTGGTAATATGACAAGATTTTAGGCCCCATCCATTTTTGTAAAAAAAGAAAAATTGCTGAAAAGGTCAGAAAGGAAGGGAATATAGATTAACCAGAGGCCAACTTCCTGATTAATGGCTCTTTTGCACTTTGGCATAAATTTTGATAGCGTCTAGCACAGCTAAACTGTCTGTCTTAGTGAAACTGCCCTACTTTTCTGTCAATCAGATAAATCAAGATTCATTTAAGCTTTCAGAGAGAAAAAATGTTAGCACGTGCTGAAGAGCTCTAATTTATTTCAGTGAGACTCTTAAACTGAAAATTAGCTTGTAGTCTTTGTAACAATAGAATTCCTTTCCACAGATAAGCTCCCCTATCTTCTAAATATTCAAATAACTGATCACTGATTGCTTTATTTACAATGGTCAAATGGGTTTATGCACTGTGCTTTACAACCCCTTAATTCTTTTTTGAAACCTACATTTAATTTGAATTTATTCTGTTTAACTCAAAAGTCTGAGAGCTGTACAGTCCCTGGCTGCAAGCATGGATGGGCTGCTCAGTCATCACTGATCCCTCTATAAATATGTTATTACAGTTTCACATTCAATTACCTCTGGGCTCCTGGTAGAGCTTCTCCAGTCCTTCCAAAGGCTGCTCTGTCAGAAATACTCTCACGGTCTCCAGAGTACTCATGATAACAGGTTCTTTAGTTTTCAATTCCCTCTTGAAGGCCTGTGAAATGAGATGGAAAGAAATGTTTATTTGGCTTGTGGAATGCTCCTCAAAATTAATCCTGGGTGCTCAGAACTTGTTTATGTAACTCCCCAGTCAATTTCTTTCTCTTTTATTTATAAACTGATAGAGAGAAAATGATAAGAAAGGAGACCTGGGTCTCAATTTTAATGAGGAAACCCCTGTGTTTGCAACACTTTTCTGGAGAGAAGTGGGGGACCTTTCAAGACAGGTGATGTGCTATCATTAAGGTAAGTGCATCAGACCCTAACCCTAACTCTACCCCTAACTCTAACTGGCCTGACTCCGAGATCTAAAGATTATACATATAACACAAGGCATAAATTGCAACATCTTACCCTGGCTAATGAAGATTGAAATATTTCCAAAATAGTCAGTTCTAGTACACAATGGAAAACATTCACTGTTATATAATGTGGGGACATTCAGACTTTATTGAAGAACACAACAAATTCAACTGATAATAATTCTTTCAAAATGTTTGATGGTGAGTAAACTATTGAAAATGATAAATATTTTTAAAGAACTTCAGATTGCATTTTATATTGTGACTTTTCTGAGAAGAATAGAAATATTTGGAACTATTATGGATAAGTGTTAACACCTTTTGTACAAACAAATAGAATAGGTATCTTCCGACCAATTAGTTCACTAGTCAGGCTGATCGACAGTTTTAATCTCTAATCTACATTCTCTGTTTTGGGGGATTAGGAGAGGAGGAGAAAAGTGTAAGTTTTATCTTCAAGAACTTATTAGACCAAAATAAGGAAGAAAAATGTGGGAATGGAATTGTAGACACTGCCTATCACAGGGATATAACATGTCTAAAAATGAAATATAAGATGTCTTGAGTTTAATCCCACCTCTGAGACATCCCCAATCAAACAAATACAGAAGAATCAAAAAATGAAAGACTAAAAGGAAATAAAAGAAATATTCCAGATGTGAAGGGAAACTTTAAAGTCATACATAATCTAGTGAGGCACACTGCAATAGTAGAATAATTTAATATTCAAAAATAAAAATATAGTTACTTACCCAGATTTTGTTTTATTATGAGTGACCATGTTAATAAAAGATATTTGTCACATAAGTGAAAATATATTTTATTAAAAATAATAACTATTTCTCTGACCTAATTATATACCATTTCAACTCTATCTTATTTTCAATAATGTTAACTGAGTTTAAGCCCTCTTACATTACTGGGGAAAAAAAGTGTTTTCCTTTAAATTTCAAATATAGCACTCTGATACAAAAGTACCTTAGAAGTATATTATACTATATTTATTGGTAAAATCTCAGTGATGCTCCCCATTCAAAAGAACCCTGAGTTTGATATTTTATACAGTAATTGATCTGTCAAGGTTATTAAAATCCATGAGAGAGAGGCAAGGTGTCTGAATAAAAATAATAGAACATTTGGCTTCAGTCTGCAAATGGAAAAGCAATTTATATATTGTGGACTATTCTTGTGTCCTTGAAATCACACTTTGTAGATGATTATTTACTTACACAGAAGTCCCATTCTATCTATATTTCATTTGATTTCTGAATATTTGTGTGTGTGTGTATGTATGTGTAAGTAATATACTTCTTGCAGTGTTTTATTTTTTTAATACATCTTTCACAAGTACAATTATCTCTTTTATTTGTCTATCAACTTGGAGTGAAGATGGTACTGGCATTGCTAATTATGAATAACAATGGCTCCCTATATCAAACTTTCACATCTAAGTAGTTACACTAGAAACAAAAAGTTATGTGTAAATTGGTGTCTCTATTTGGGAAGTTGCAGAATATCATGGATAGCTAAACATATAAATCAGTTAAATAAAACCTGTGAAAGATTTCTAGAAGAGTTTAAGTACATAGAGTTATAAAGCATAAATATGAGTTAGTCAGAAAAGAATTATTAGAGGACACTAAAAGAGGAAAATTATGTATGCACAGAGACATCAGGAAAGCATTGTATACTATGTATAAATATCTCTAAACAGGCTTGCCCTTCTAGAAAATAAGGACTAAGGAAAGACTTCCCAGAGTTTAATTAAGGCACTGTCATTACATGGAAATATAAGACAGTTTTAAAGAGGAATATGGGCATCAGATTCTTGAAAAGTTTAGGCAATATTCATAAACTATTAGTAGCCTTTGAAAAAATTTAGGCAGTGTAGTGGCATGGGTCAATGAGTATTTGGCAAGGTTGAAGTGATCTGATAGAGGAAATGGGAAAAAAGATGAGGCTGTAATTAGAGAAGGGAGGCAGATAAATATAGAAGGAAAGAGTGGGGAATAAAATAGCAACAGAGAAATGTTAAAAAGTTCCAAGGAATTGTACTATTCACTATCTGCCTAAAATTTTAATATGCAGGAGTCTGACACATATATTTTATCATTGGAAGGCATGTATAAGAAATAACCCAGTGCACATACAGTTTGGACAGTCTTAGAATGTATAACCCATGGATAACATGGGGGATCCTCTATAGCACATGAAATTGAAAAGGGTAAAAGCAGAATTTGAAAGAAAACTAGAAGGCAACTAGAAGGAGGATTTTTTATTTAATAAGTTTTCTCCATTTTTGATCTGGGCTTCTCCTTTTTTTAATTTATTTTATTATTTTACATGTCGATCCCTGTTCCCTCTCTCTCCTTCCTTCCCTCCCTCTATCCCTCCCTCCCTCTTACCATTCTGCTCCCTCCCTCTTGCCCTCTCTGCCCCCTCACATGCACCCTGACCACCCTCCCCTCACATCACCCCACCCCAATTCCACATGTAGGGAAATGCCATCCAGGTGGGGTCATGTAGATCTGTCATTAGGATACAAGGTGTATTCTAAGAGATCCATATAAAGTCGCTCACAGAATGGGGGAGGGACAAGTCCCCCAGAGCACAGGGGAAGTGGGGCAGCAGTGAATGGAGAGAGAAGTAGGAGAAAGAGAAGGGGAGGACAGGAAAACACATGCGACTAGGAAGATTGAGTCAGGATAGATATAGAAGACAGAAGAGAGAGACAGAGAGAGAGAGAGGGAGGGTGAGAGAGAGAAAGAGAGAGAGAATAAAAGAGGGGGCCATTATTGGTTTGAAGAGAAAACTGAACGTAGATAAAGGTCTGGAGACCTACAAGACTGCTGCCAACTAACAATTTGAGCATCCATGGAAAGGCTACCATAAATGCCCTTCCCGGATATTGAGATCAACAACTAACTTATTCACCATCAAGGATCCCTCATCTAGTACCTGTTGGAAATAGAAGCAAGCACCCATACTAAACACTGAGTCGAACTAGAATCCAGATGCAGAGGGAGAGGACAAGACCAGGTTGCAGAAACACATAGAGACAGCTGACCTGAACAAGGAGGAACTAATGGGCCCTCAGACTGATAGCTGGGAATCTAGCATGGGACTGACTCAGACTGAGCAGTCTAAGGGACCTCAGAGAGTAGAACCAGGATGTATTCCTGGTGCACAAAAAGACCTTGCAGACACATCCCCCATGGAGGGATACTGCCTTAACCTAGAGACAGGAGAGAAGTCCTAGGAGTATTTTATGAAAGATTGTGAGAATGCAGCCCAGAGCCAGAGTAAAGAGAAAATTATAGAGACACAGTATTAAAGTGTTTAGAGGGTGAAGCAATCTGGAAGGAGCAAGAAGGACTCTTAGATTTACAATGAGTAGATGAGTGAATTCTGGATACAATTTAACTAAGTGTGAGGAAATAAACTTTCCTGGATTACTCTATGCCCCTCTAATAGTTTTAGCCTGCTGAGAACTTTCCCATCCCATGCAAATTAGATGTGTACCATCTGTCTGGTTAATTTCTCAAATTTCTCTGATCCAAGAAGGACAAATTGTTAAGGACTTAGTTGGTAGGCTGTTAGGCTAAGTCTCCACTTGTCAGAAAACAAAACCAAACAAAACACAAAGTCACTAGATAGGTATAATGAAAACATATGAAGCCGTGGCCCTGGAAATATTTCTAGATTGCAAAAACTGACGCATTGGGGCATTGAGCTAGCTCCCTGAAAATTAACGTTATTTTCATGCCTTTTATGTTTCCAAGGAGATTCATCTGGAGAGGAGGACAGCTGGATCCTCCTTTATAATCTTTGGTCTCTTGCCTATAGAACGACTAAGTGCTCACATGGAAAGGCTTTTATCAACATTCACCATGATGCCCTAGGGCATGTCATTATGAAAGAAAGGGAAGGTACAATTATTTATTATAAGGCAATTAAAAAAATCTGCCTTGGATCCAGAATATCTCATGTGAATATTCAAGATAAAATTAATAAAGTCTAAAATTACAGCAATACTAAGATGAGGGTTGGCATTTTGTATATGGGACATCTTTGAAAGATAGAATTCTTTCGAGGTGAAAAAATAAATTTTGTATGAGAAAAAAGTCTAAGCATCGCTGCCTGGTCTCTAACCCCCACTGCCAGTCCTCTACTGAGGTTCCGATATCCTCCCAGAGATTCACAGGCCTCTCTGAGTTCATGCTGGCTGGATACTTGACCCCCATCACAGGGCCTCTGCTAAAGAGGCCACAGCTGGAGAGAGTCAGGTCCCAAATAGATCTGCCTATCGGTGCAGAAACATCTTTGAGCCAAGTCTTTGTCTTCCATCGCAAGGCCTTGGGTAGAGGTGAGTCTTGGACCAATTCGGGTGTAATCTCCCCTACACCTACCCAAGGAACTCCCTGGGTTGGCCCCTGATCTCAAGTGTCCTGTGTCCTGACCCCTTTGAGAGCGGTCTTGGAGCTCTGCTATACCCCCACCCACCCCTACCCTACCCTGTGCTCTACCCTTCCCACTGTCCCACCACTCTGGTTGAGCACTGGGACAGAGGTTGGAGCTAACAATCCAGCCACCTTCGGGGAACTTCCTGGAGCTGCTCTGAGCACACTAGACCTGCCTATCCACGAGGGACCACCCGTAATTTCTACCTACCTGGTCTCTGACCCCCATCACC